TTGATGAGAAACGTTTAATTCGAAATCATTATGGTAAATTTGTGAACTTGAAACCTCATTGAATCCCTAATTTTTAAATTCTGTGAATTTTTAACGTGTTTCTTTTTTTTAAAAAAAAGGAAAATTTCAATTGCTCCAATTCGTCTTTATGCACAAATTCTATCGATTAAATGACAGGTTTTTTTCAGAGGCAGATGTTAGACAAAATTGGAAAACCTACCATATTATTAAAAGAAATCCATAATTTCTACGTAGCGATAAAGAATAAGAGAATAAATGTATCAGTATACTTTGTTAGTAAAATTGTCCACCTATGACATCACGTGTGTGATTCTATTAGTAAATCTCGCGTCATACAAAAATTAACGCCGAACTATCGCTATGTGATAATTTATTTGAGAAACTCTGTTTGCTAATTTTGGGAGAAAGCAAACTTGTTTTTATTCAAAACCGGACAATGTATATTAAAGGATAACAATGGACTTAAAATCATTACTCAATCTCTATGATAAGATATATAACTTTAAAGATCGCTAAAACAGAGGAAACCAATCAATTACAGTTCACAAAAAAAACTGCGACAATAAGGTTTGATGACGAATTCGTAACTTTGTTGATGTAATTATATAAACAGAAAACAACAATTAATAATTAATATAGATTAATTATAATTCTTAATATTTCTAATATTTCACGAATGTAACCTAGTCAGGACAAATTGTAAAATTGGGTTTTGTGGTTTTTTTTTTTTTACCACATTCTACCGCTTTTTTTTTCTACATGGTTTCACGTAGTACTTGGTGTTAAATTCTCAAAATGGAAAGTTTCATGCGTATTGACTGACGAATTGATTACTTATCGCAAAATCATGCATGCTGCATAGATAAGCATGAATCAACTTGTGGTATCCGAAAGACCGTTTAGGGGGGTTTTTATGCAGGGTAAGAGTTTGAAAATGCCGGAAAAATTTAATCGTTAACTTAAGCATCGTCAATGGAAGTAGAGTTTAATTGCGTCACTATAAAAGTCACTATAAAAGTCACTATAAAAATTTAATTAACACATAATTTATCCAATAAGATATTCTGATAAATCAACACATAACCGCGTAATACTGGTGCAAGTATTCTAAGTAATTTTTTATTAAGCATTTTAGTTCATTCGATCAATGATAAAGTTATCTTACATAAAGATCGGAAATTAAAAAGAAATAAAAAGTTATGATAAAAAATCTATTATTATCAGACCAAATATTCTATTTTATGCAAGCATTTTTATGAATGGATAAATCGTCGTAAGGCAATGGTACGTGCATTGTAATTCTCTTTTATCCGACGCATAATATTGAGTTAAAAATTCAGTTAATAAACATGAATGAGTAATTTCGAACAAAGAATTATGTTGTGATTTATTAAGGTAATTAGTGACAAGTCCGATTATAATGTGAAATATTTTATTAATATTTTTACTACTAACGCTAATCTAACGCTAATTTTATTAGCCACAAATTTCGTGATATTCAAAACACTTTTAAGCATTTAATTTTTCATGTTATATAGTTTGTAGACGACATGCAGTGCAACATGAGCAGCAAAATGCATCTAATTTAGTATTAATGTGAACCAATAAAAAAAAAAACATTAGGACACGCGACTTGTCAATTAAGGATATAATTATAAATTCGGACATGAGCGTTGGCGTGCAAAATGGTAAAATGAGAAAATTCTATAATGATAAGCAAATTTCAAATTTCAAAAAAAAAAATTTTTTTTCTTAATATATTTCATGCAAATAAAATAATTTTAACATATATGTTTTAATTTCTATTTGTTTATTAGCTAACTTCATTGTTCTTTGTCTGAATTTTCTCGCTCATTGGTGACGAAATAAATAAACACTTTAATTAGGTAATGAGTTTAGTCGACCCTATTTGTAATTTTTATTTATGCAGGCAGGAGGGACACCATACACATTCCCCTCTCACAGCTATGTTTACAGCTATACCTACAGCTATACTTACAGCCATAATATACATCTATATCTTATCATCTACAACTTATCATATATAGTACAATTATCATTTACAACTATCATAATTCGACATATTATATGCAAAAAAAAAGACCAATAAATAAACGATTGGACTAGTAAGTCCCTTACATTAAATCTGAACCAAAATTTTATTGATCACATTTATCGCGGGAAAACAGGCATAATACAGCAATAATACAGCAAGTAATTATATAGTAGTAATAATACGGTAAACTCAACGCATACATGCATGTTCCATGCATATAAATATTTAATTGGTTCATTATAATTTAAACTGAGATTTAAGATTTAGATTTCCAAGAATTTGAAATTTATGTATAATTAACGCATCGTAATTTTTTGCATAATTTAGGTACCCGATATGCTTGAATACAGTAACCAATTTCCGGATAACATTGTATATATGCGTGATATTTGATAAAGTTCACACCCTAAGCTTTATTTGTGTGCGCATGATGGTGTTTGATGGCGTGATCAAATGAATCAACAAAATGAAATTCAAAAATAATAGATCGTCAATCCCATCAAATTGTTATATCATTAGGCGCATTATCTTGCGTGAACTTATAAATTTTTACTGATAAGTAGATAAAAAAAAACTTTAAATATTTTTGATAACCAATACAACATTATAAATTATAAATATTAGTGATGATTTCTTTGTTCGAATCTATATTATTGTTTTTTGTTTTGATTATCTGTTATCAATTATTACACGTACGTACCTGCGTCAACTGATCTAGGCACTTAATATGGACTGTCCCCAAGTATATTATTAAAATATTATTATATAATATCATAGAGTAAATTACTTTAAGAATCATTTATAATTCTTGAGCATTTATAGCTCTTGGGTAGTGCACATATCAAAACAAGCAAAGCAAGCATTCAGGCGAGACCCTGTGAGAAAAAAGATGCTTTTATCATGTGGCTAAACGTGAGCGTTTTGTTTGTATTACAGTTTTGTCGCGTGGAAGCATTCTTTAAGGATTATAACTGGTAAATTTTAAACTTATATTTCATTAATTAATATGCAACTAAAATGAAAGTATATTCTATACTTTAAGTTTAATTATGTTATTTACACAACTGTACTGTACATGCTAATGGAAAAAAAAAAAAACACAAATCCATTTTTGAGTAAATAACTTATTTGTTCCATGCGAATACTCTCGTGGAAGTCAATATATTTTGTGTAATTTATCCCTTATACATAACTTGTGCACTTGAGACCTTAATGCTAGTACTCAAAATCACTCCCGAGTTTTGGGTATATTCATTCCCTTGGCACGTGACACATGTGTTCGTTTAAAGAATTTTTTAGATCTATGCGCATATATGCGTTATTTTTTCATATTCATTTTTGAACAGTTTTATCACTTTTAGATTCTGAAACATGGTGCTTCCATATTGACTTGTAAACGTGTAATGATTGGCTATTACGAGTGATGTTTGATTCCTTACTTGTAAATGCTTGTTTTTTATTTTTGTTCATTTGAGGAAATTCACATATTAACTTTAATTGTTTTCTTAAATCATCGTTAATCAAACTTATGTAGTCATTTTCAGCTAGGCTCGTTCAATGTTTATTACTGTTTTATTGCTCGGTCAAAGAAAATTATTGAGTTTTATTTCTTGTTTCCTCAATAATATTTAGAATTATTTGGAATTATTTAGAATTATTTGGAATTATTTAGAATTATTTAGAATTATTTTAGAATTATTTAGAATTATTTTAGAATTATTTAGAATTATTTTAGAATTATTTAGAATTATTTAGAATTATTTAGAATTATTTTAGAATTATTTGAATTATTTTGAATAATTGTTGGTTTTTTTCTGCATGTTGTTCTTAAAAAAAAGCAGTTATTATAACATAAATAAATATATAGTTAATTAATTAAGAACACCAAAGTATCACATAAAATCTAGGATTAAAATCACTAATTAACTTGTTCTTCTTTTAAGGTTATTGTTATACAAGATCAACATTCCGGTATCTTTCTTATTATTCAATTAGCTTACCTTCGGCAAACATCTTTATTCTCCGGCGTCTATCACCAGTGACGCTGATTTAAAGTTACACAAAACTCCAAAGTAGCATACTATAGTTCAACGTTAAAGGTGATAAGATTTGATAAAAATAGATTTAGTAATAAAAAAAAAAAAAATTTTTTTTTTGTTGTCGGCCCATTTACGCCTCAAATCATGTGCCCGTGAAACAGACAAGAACCATGAGTCTGCAAATAGAATAAAAAGCTAAAAATTTTTAAACGAGATCACGTTCTAATTAAAATGGTTAAAATGCGCCTTATTTGCTGCTTATTTTACATTTTTTATTCCGCGTGCGAGAAATTAGCAATCGTTAATATTCTTAATTTTAACATGAGCACTTAGGTCAACAAATAATAACATAGACTTATACCAGTTATCGAGATTATAGAAGTCAACATGTTTAAAACTGACGAATGAAAAGCCAAAATGGCGTATTCTTGTTTATGTTACATCACTCTTAGAGTAAGGTTCCAACTCGATAGAGCAAAAAAAAAAAAAAAAAGACAAAGAATTCACTACGGGATTGCGTAGTACTGAGTACACAAGGTAAAATTAATATCCATCCATTAAATTGTCGCCGTGTGAAGTCAGAAACGTAAACAAATTAGATTAAAATTAGTTTAAAGTAATACGGGTGATCATAAGACATCCGACCCAAAGTCTAGGATAACGGTCTGGAATAAGTGCTAGTGTTGAAATTATCAAAATTATCGTTATAGGATTCCAGTTTTTATGTGGCTTTTTTTAGGTACTGGTCTTGAACATTCAATTAAGTAATGTTAAATGTTCAACAAATTAAAAATTCCAATTATGATGTTTTGTTGGCGCGAGTTCAAAATAATTATTGGTTACTCAATTAAAAAGT